ATGCAACTTGCCTTCAGTTTAAGTTTTCAGGCTTTCATGAGAACTGAAGGAGGAAGTTGTATGCGGAAAATGTGGGTAGCAGCTCAGCTCTGCTGGTTTTCAGTGCTGCAAACCAAGCTGTCAAACTGTGAGGAAATTAAAATACATTTTAAACAATCTCAAGTGTTTCAATTCACTCTCTAACTTGGGTTTTAGCCACTTATTGTTCTCAACTCATTCAGGAAAACATCTTTAGGAAACACTTCATTGTTCAAAAATCAAAATTTAGGGTTATGAAATACATAATGGTAAACAGTGACTATTTTTGTCTTTATGTTTGTGACACCAGTGGTCTAAACACTCAAACCGTTTCAGCTGCATCGAGGACTATGACTTGCATACCTCCATAAGTTAGTGGCATGCTCTCATTGCCCTTAAACTCAAATGAGTTGATGCCTTTATTCACGTCTCTCTGAAAAAGTTATCAGACCATTTCAGTTTCTTGTTGCTAAAAGGTGTGAATGGAGCCATGTACTGAAGGAGAACAAGTTCATAAATACTAACCCCTTATTTTACTCCAAACAAGTTTTAATTATTCACAATGTTGATTTTCAATGATTTACCTCCTAATTTCTAATTTTCTATCCTGAAATAAAGCAAAAGCGTTTATCCAACAGGAAAACTTTTACCTGTCCACCAATCTCCTCCTATGTTTCCTGCTAGACAACTACTGTAATTTAATAACCAACAGGTAGTGTTGCACTTCAACGCATTCAATTAACGGCGTTTACTAAATATGATCATATTTTTAGAGAACAGTTAACCAAACGGAACAGCTTTGAAGGAATGAATGTGAACGAGAGCGATGTTCACTCAGAATAATGAGCAACACGTGTCACTACCCGATCTGTACCATCAGTTCATTTCAGCAGGTGCAAGCAGATATTCACCCAGATATACATATGGTACTAAAATTACTTATATTTATTCTTTGAAACAATAAAGAATGCTACACAACATCTCTAAATATATGTATATATGACTTTTTTCTGGGACAATTTGATGCTTTTTACATTTTCTTTGTGAAACAGCTTGTCTGATGTCATCATCAAACACGTCCAGGGCAGGTCGGCAGAATAAGATTAAACCATGTTAATCTGCATATTAGTTGTTCTTATCTTTAAATGACCACTATATACCATAAGCTTAACATGAAAGGAAATTGTTAACCTATGAGATTACAGTTTAGTACGCTTACTATTTTAGGGAAGGAAAAACATAATTTAGGTCTTTTTATCAAAGTAAATCCAAGGGTGACCCAGATGTATATCTGATGGCCCAAATGAGCTGATGGTGCAGATCAGCTAGTGACAACACACACAGCTCATGTTCGCGTTCAGTTGATAACAACGCTATTCACTGGATAACGTCAGGTTTTACGGAATTCATTACAGCATAACAGACCAACTTTTCTACTGCTAGTACTAGTCTGCTCTATTCAGACACATCTAATGGTATTTCTGGTGTCAGTTTAGCAGAGGAAGACTTGGACAGAAAAAAACTCACCTTTTGTGTAAACTGTGCCAACTGGGACTGAACAAGCAAGTCCGTACATCAGCGTTGTCCACTTAAATTTAAAGAGAAACATGCTAAAGCATCCAAGCTATCTTAGGAAATATCTGCTACTAAAAGACGAATGGAAGAAACCATTTTGATCCAGATCTTTTCAGCCGATCCTGAATGTTCCTGTATGTTTTTGAAGTTCTGTGTAATTTAGCTAAATAACGGCTTCACTGCACATCCAGTATACCTTCACTGCATCGAGTATTTTCCATTTATTTCTATATATTATGATGATTACACATTTAAAGGGGAAAATATGAAGTTCTGTTGTGGAGGATTATGGCTTCATTTACCAAATGAACTTGAACTAGCTCATTTATAGGTTTGTGAACTTGGTTAAATTTTGAAAAAGTGAAGCATGAGTGTGAAGTAGTTCATTTTCATCTGTGTGATCTGAACTTTGAGCTCATTCTTTTAAATTATGAACTGGTTCAACATTGCCGACAGGTCAGTAGGAAAAACTGGCCAGTTTGAAATCTAACCAGCAACTGGTGAGTCAAAGACTGAGAAATCAGATCCAGAGTCAAGGAATAAAGAATCTCTGTGGGAACTGATCTATGACAAACAGCTTTATAGCGCTGACCTGAATAATCTTCTAATCCCTTCATTTCACTCTGTGAAGGAACCAGCAGCACATCTTAGATATTATGACCAATATATGTTTATTTAATTGTAAATGAAATCAGAAAATACAGAAAAAAAAACAGCTTGTAGATATTATAGTCTAAAGAGCATACATTTTAACCAATAAGTCAAACCGAGGAAATTTTTCATATGTACAGTCAAATGCAAACATTAATATGTTATAAAGGAAACTTTCTCTATAGTGTTATCAAATTTTACGAAATATGAAGTTAAACACTCAAACCTGTTGGTTCAGCTGCATCGAGGACTGAGGCTTCCATACCTCCATATAGGGCGTGCTCTCACTGCCCTAAAAACTCAAGTGAGTTGATGCCTTTATTCACGTGTTTCCTACAAGTTTTAGGATTGATGTCTTTAAGATTTTTTTTCTCAACCTTACCTTAACATGGTTGCATTTATTCTGACCTTTAGGGCAAAATATATGTAAAATTCATTTTTCTGTTGAGCTTGAAAGTTAAATTTAGTCAAGTGGATGTGAAGCTTTCTAGAAGATGTTTCACCTCACAGCCAAGAGCCTTCATCAGTTCTAACTGATGTAGATTTGACCAATCAGTGGCCTCCTGTCTGCACTGTCTACGGTGACCTACAATTTTGGAGAGGTGCAGCAGTGTCTGTGGAAGGGGCGCGGAAACATTTGTGTTCACTACGACAAACATGCAGACGACCTGGTTTCTGAGTATAATCAGCTTTTAATGGTCATCAGGGGTTCTGATGGGTCCTTAACTCCCATTCAGAGGTGTTTTGGCCACATTGCTCTTTGAAGTATGAGTCAGGAGAGGGCAGGTGAGAGGTCAATCTATTGGGTAGTGTTCTGTTAAAGATTGGAGGGAGGTGTTGGCCTAGTGGTTAGAGCAGTGTGCTTGTGCTCTGAGAAGGTTGAATATTACCTGATTCGATCCTCACAGCCTGTACTTTGGGTCCCTGAGCAAAACTCTAATCATTGCTCCCCTGGTGCCCCACAATCGCAGCCCACGGCTCTCCAAGGGGATGGGTTAAATGCAGAGGTGAATGTCTGCAGTGTGAGATCAATAATGGGGAGTGGTGGCCTAGTGGTTAGAACATTTTGCTTGCAATCCAGAGGCTCTGAGTTCAAGCCCAACTCCCACAGAGTGCCACTCTGGGTCCTAAAGCAAATACCCCAAACTGCTCCCTGGGCACCACACAATGGCAGCCCACTGCTCCCCAAGGGGATGGGTTAAATGTAGAGAGTTCATTTCGTTGCTCTGTACTTGTGACAGTGGAATGGCAATAAAAGCTGGGGGAAAAAATCAAACATTAATTTTATTTTATGTTGTTTTAAATAACCGTTACATCTTTTCATTGCCATATATGCTAACGTTCTGTAAGTCAGCCAAATTGACCTTCTTATGTTGAAATATGATGACCAGAGAGGCTCTAGCATAATACTGTAGGCTGTGTGAGAAGGACTGAATGCTGACTGGCTGCTTTGGGGGAGACACCTCCTGGTTGACTTTGGGATAAAATTTTTAAGTATGCAGGGGCCCTGGGCCGTTTGAACTGGTTATCAGCTGAATGGTCAACATGTAAAAAGGGCCTAAGATAGGTGAGATCTTCTTCTGCAATTTTTGCTAACATCAAGGAATTTGTTACAGTCAACATGAGTGGAATACATTTGGTTAATGATTAAACATCTTTCCTTCTTAATGCATGCTATCTGAGAAACATATCTCCTTGGATTCGGACCGGGTAATGAAGATGATGATCCAACAGGTCCTAAAAGTGCTTTGTAAGTAAGTGAAAGCATTTTCTCTTTGACTCATTCTTCAATGAGACATTCTGACGAGGGACTTAATGACCTATCAGAACCCCCTAACCTCCATTAACACCCCCCTCCCCTCCCCTCCCCACCTTCTTACTGGATTGGCCATGGTGACCCCCATGGCCAATCCATTAGGAGGAATCAGAGCCACCTTTTGTTCCCCTTATTCTTTGTTCCACCTAATTTATATTAATCTCAGTGCTCCACACTATTAGTTAGAACTGAGGACACCTCTTGGATGAGAGGAGAAACATTTTCTAGAAAACTGCAAATACATCTACCTAAACTGGACCTTCTAAGCTTGACCATGACCTGGATGACTGAGAATCTTCACAGATAAACAATTTTGTGTTGTATTCTAACATCTATAACTTTGTTTTGCTAAATATCCTCTTTGTTTGTAAACTTCTGTCTTTGCTGTTCTTTGTCATCTTGCTTTTATTACTTCAGTTTTTATCTCATGTAAATTAATTTCTTTTCCACTATTTGTATAAAAGTACTGTGTAAATAAAGATTAACTAATC